CGGGCTCTGTGCTGACACCTCGGAGCCTGGAGCCTGTTTCAGATTCTGTCTCTCTCTCTCTCTCTGCCCCTCCCCACATCAAGTTCTGTCTCTCTCTGTCTCAAAAATAAATAAACATTAAAAAAAATTTTTAAATACTGTATTACAAGTACCTCCATGACTTTTGGCAATTGAGTCCAAAATGATTAAAAAGAAATTTAAATTTGAGAAAAAGTTTTATTTCAGCTTTACCAATTTATTAATTTATTTCAGGTTTTCGGTATGTATGAGTAATACATGGTTTTAAAAAATCCAGATCTCGAGGCGCCTGGGTGGCTCAGTCAGTTGAAAGTCTGACTCTTGACTTTGGCTCAGGTCATGATGCCAGGGTTGTGGGACTGAGCCTCCATTCAGGCTCTGTGCTGAGTTTGGAGCCTGCTTAAGAATCTCTCTCTTTCCGAGCCTAAGTGTCCATCAATGGATGAATGGATCAAGAAGATGTGGTTTATCTATACGATGGAATGCTACATAGCAATGAGAAAGAATGAAATCTGGCCATGTGTAGCAACATGGATGGACCTTGAGGGTGTTATGCTGAGCGAAATAAGTCAGGCAGAGAAGGACAAATACCATATGTTTGCATGTATAGGAGGATTAGGAGGAACTTAACAGAGGACCATGGGGGAGAAGAAGGGGGAAAATAGTGGGGGAGAGGGAGAGAGGCAAACCATGAGAGACTCTTGAATGCTGAGAACAAACTGAGGACTGATGGGTGGGGGGGGTAGGGAGGGAGATGGGCATGGAGGAGGGCACTTGTGGGGATGAGGACTGGGTGTTATATGGAAACCAACTTGACAATAAACTATTTGTAAAAACAAAAACAAAACCCAAAAGTAAAAAAAAAAAAAAAAAAGAATCTCTCTTTCCCTCTCCCCTGCTCCCACTTCTCTCTGAAATAATTTTTTAAAATGTTAAAAAAATTTAAATCTAAAGTAGATTGTTTAAGAACTATCAAATAAAAACCCTAAGTTGTCAGGAGGCATTGTGTCATAGTTTCTTAATTTTCTTTCTTGCAGTACATAAAATATTGGCACATCTTTTAATCAGTGATATGTCAGATTCAAAGAAATGAAGCATATTCAGAATTAAATCACTTCTTATCACCTCTATCGCTGCTACCATGGTCTAAGCTGTCATCATTCCAGGGCTGGCTTACTGTACCAGCCTCCCGACTACTTTGCTTACTGCCATAATTGGACCAATGGCAGTATATTCAGAACACAGTAGACAGAAATGCTTTTAAAAATAAAGCAAGCCATTCCTCTGCTCAAAATCTTCTTGTTAATTCTCATCTCCTTCTGACTAAAAGCCACCATCCTTACAAAATCCTAGAATATCTGTGCTGTTTTTCAGCCTGTCTCACAACCCTGCTGCTTTCATTATTTCCTCTAGTATTCTTTAAACTTACTTTATTATAGTCACATTAGCTTTTTTACACTTCCAGAAATATGCTGGGGATTTGTCGACCTCAGGACCTTTGTACTTGCTTTTCTCTATGTCTGGAAACCTTTCCCTTGACTTTTGCATGATGACCTCGGATCCTGGTTCAGATGCCACCTTATTAGTGAGTTTTTTCCTTACTAAGGTATTTAGTATTGCAACTCTATGTAACACCCTTGGCTGGCAGCCCATTCCTATCTCCTGTTCTTCCCTGTTTTACTTTTTTTCAAGACTCCTGCCACCATAGGACATATACACATTTTATTTAGTTATTTGTTTTGTCTGTTGTTTTTTTTTTCTGTCTGTCCCTCAGGAGCCTTAGGATATCCAGGGGATTTCAAAGCACACCAATTCATATGAGAGGTTTGCAAAGCTGGAGATATTAAATTGATAGCAAATAGGCTGGCTTTAGTTCTAAGTATATATTGCATACACTTGGAAAATATGTAACAGGGCACAAGCCAATACAATTTGCAAAAAAAAGTGAGCCTTTAATTTCAAGAATCAAAAGTTAATGTTAGTTAAATTTATTCTTTTTTTTGTTGGGCTGGGGAAGTTGAAAAGAAGTGACCAGCAAAAATGGAAAGACTGAATGCTATCAGCGGGCAACCTTTGCCTTTAAAAAAGGGGAAAATGAGCCTTGATCTCTCTTTCTTGTCTGTATTTTTATTAGGCAATTATAATGTCTTTCGATACAAAGATGGTTTCTTTCTTATTTGCCAGGAAATGGCAACCATTGGATAAGTCTCTCCTACTTTTCTTTTTTCCTTCTGGCTCTTCCCACCATGGTCTTTCTCCACTCTTCTGTTTTCTCTTTGTTCCCCCAAGGCCTGATAACATTGAAAAAAATCTTGGACATAAGTTCAGAAGAAAATGAGTTCAATGTGGGGAATCCGAGTGCTAGGAGTTCGAAAAGAGCATGTGGCTGGCTTACAGTGCGTTTTGGCAGAGTGCAGGGGAGAGACCTGGCCCAGCTCCTCCAGGCCTTCACGGGTGGAGAACCGCTCACCTGGCCAGCACACTGGGCCCCGCAGAGCAGCCTAATCTTCCCTGCCTGTGGGTCACTCGTAGTCTGTAAATATAGGGTGGAAGGTTCTTCTTGGGTGGGGAAAACATAAATGAGGCAGTTTGTTCAGCATCTGCTACACATTGTAGTGAGGTCCATGCATATGTTGGGCTTTACCAGATAAATCATGTTGTCATGAGGCATCATCATTGCTCGGGTAAATGAATCAATTGCATTTTGCCATTATGGATAATCATCAGGTTGTGGATTATATAATTTACCTCCTTCTTGGTTGTGAATTTAGCACTTTTCGTTGAAGTATCTATTTGCATACCCAGGGGTGACTTATGGCTCTTAGTTTGCTTCAGTTTGTTCTTTCAGAGCTTCTCCACATTGTTCCAGTGATTCAGGCCCCAGGAGGGTAAGAGGACTATCTATCCAGGCAGAATGTTTAGGCAGAGGTCATGAATGGGTATGGAGAGAAGATTCCCTACCCCTACCCCTGCTTTACAGCAGTTACTGCACAAAAGTGAGCCATCTCCTTTTTTTGCACCCAGCAGAAACTCCTAGATTCCTAGATAATGAGCACTGATTCAATTACATGACACAAATAATTAGAAAGATTTTAACTCTTCTAGGGTTGGTTTTCTATACAAGTGACTTTTAAAATGTAGCTTCTCCCCCTCCCCCAAATATCCCTCCATGACTTCAGAGATTTACAAAAGAATTATACCAGATAGACTCTGGTTTTCATCTTCCAAATTCTTTAATTTTTCATCTTATAGGAAGAAGCTACCAACATACGAGAGAGAGCAAAAACTCACCTGAATGTACTATATCAATGTCTAACTTACCTCATCCTTCATTCTCTCTGCCAGAGTCTCTCTCCCCGACAGATTCACATTTTTCACTGCCTGCAGGGGTGTTACAATGTAGAGTTCCCTAAGCTGGTACTTTCAATGCTTCTGGTGTTTAAAAGTCCCTAGTCTTTTCCTGACTTCTGGGAATAATTCTTTAGCACACACTGCCTTTTCTTCTTGACCTACAAGTCCATTTAAAGCCACAGACCCCACTAAATGTCAATTGTTTTTTTCCCAGCTAGTCAACAAGTAGGGAGAACAAAACCACATTCAGTAAAGATATTCCTTCTCAGTTCCCAAGCCAGGGGCGACATACGCAAAGATATTCATCAAAGAATTGTTGAAGGATTCTGAATAATGTCAAAATCTGGAGACAGTATATCAAACAAGGTCAGATTATTCTACAAATATATGTCTTAGAGTTCAAGAGATGCTTTATTTCTTTTTTAAAAATGTTTATTTATTTATTTTGAGAGAGAGAGAGACAGAGAGAGAAAGAGAGAATCGTAAGCAGGCTCCATGCTGTCAGCACAGAACCTGATGCAGGGCTCAGTCTCACGAACTGTGAGATCATGACCTGAGCCAAAATCAAGAGTTGGATGCTTAACCACCTAAGCCACCCAGGTACTCCAAGAGCTGCCTTATTTCTAGCTATATCTGATGCAGTACCTAAAGCAGTGACTGTCACAGAGGACATTGTATTGTAAAATGATCTGGATTGTTGTGTGATCTGGATTGTTGTTACCGTAGGTATCATGAGAATGTATACCATCTACCCTAGAGAGACCCAGCTGGGCAGACATCTGAGGTACCTTGCCTTGATCCATCTAATTGCCTTCAAATGTCCCACCATAGAAACAGTCAGCAGGTTGTGGGACAGTCCAGCAGAATGAGTAAGTGCTTAGGGTCTGGAATCGGACTCTGGGCTTGAATATTGACTTTACTACTTTATAGTTGTGTGACTCTAGGAAAGTCACATAATCTGTCTAAGTTGCAGCTATCTTATTCATAACCTAAGAATAAGCAACACCTTGCTATATGGTTGTTATAAGGATAAAATGAGATGATCATGCAGAATTCTCAGTGCATATTTTATAATAACCATACATTTACTGTGCCTGTATAGAAAGATTAAGACGCAACAGCCAATAAATGGCTTCACATAATCGCTGGCCAATATTAATCCTGAAAGAACCTGTGATCACCACCAATCCAAGGTCATTTTTAAAGGAAGACATTGTGATTTCCCAGTGGCAAAAGTGGATTCGTTTAGGTCTGCACGCTCTCCCTGCTGTATTCTACCAGGCACACCAGGCTACGTATCAGGCAGAGGCTTGGATACAGTCCATCCTCATGTTGGGCAGCAAACTGCATGTCTACGTTTGTAAATAGAGTGTATCCTGATTCACATGTAGCTCACTCCTGCTTCGCCACAAAGGAGAAATTTCCTCCATGAGGTTGCAATGGGTTACCTGACTTGGTCTACCTACAGTAATACACAAAGCAGGACCATAAAGCTTTCTAAAGTATTTTCAGGTTCATCCTCATTTTGTTGGTGGTGTTATTCCCTAGATGATGAGGAGAGCCAGTATTAAACCAGGGGAGATTAATTAGCCAACAAACCCAAAGATTGCCCCATGTCTGTAGTATCTTACATTTGGCTGAGGAGAGCTGGGATTTATATTGCCCTCGGACCAGTCGGCAGGTGGACCCATCTCCGTTGCAGACTCCACAGTTATCTTCCTTCATGGTGCTTCCCAGCTGGTGATCACAGCCAACAATCTAACAGGAAAGAGAGATGTATAATTCAACCAGGTGGTTACTGTAGGGATCCATTGTGAGGCCCATCATCAACCACTAAATGATTCTCCCTTCACTTTTGAGGAAGCATAAAACATGCTTCCCATAAATGGGAATGAATTCAGCTGGAATTTCAATCAAGCTAAGGAAGAAAATAGGTAAAGATGTTTTCACAGTTTAAATATATAAACACAAGGGTGGGGAGAGAGAAAGAGACAGAGGGAAAGAGATCGGAAGGAGGCAAGGGGAAAGGTGAGGAGGAGAGGAAATCTTCAACTATTGATTATATAGAATTAATTTAAAAAGTCATTCCCACTGTCAATAATTATGATTCACTAAAATGACAAAAATACAATCATGAAGTAACTGTAGCAGGAAAATGTCATCAATTATTTTCATGTTCCATATGTTCCTTAGACTGTAAAGCAGTGTAAGGGCAGGAGCTTTGTATGTTGGGTCCATTGGAGTACACTGATGTATTCCAAGCAACTAGAATAGTGCTTGGCAAACTATAAGCCCTTAATAGATTTTTGCTGAATGATAAAGAAAATGCTTCCTTTTCTATAGCACTTCAACCAAGAGAAACACAGAATCAGCTGATAGAGCAAGATCATTGTACGTGTGTGTGGTAGGAGAGGAGGGTTGATGTGGTAGGCAGCAGAGATAACTAATACTGAGGCCCTTTGTGCCTGGCCATGTCCTGTACCAGGCACAAATATCTTGTTACTTCTGAGAACAATTATGCAAGGTATCTCTCCATTTTATAGCTGAAGCCATAAATCTTGCCAAGGTTACTTTGCTAATGAGTAGCTGAGTTCTAAACACATCTAACAAAACATTTAAACTTAGTCCAAATAAGGCTTACCAAAATCATAAGCACTTATCAAGTATACGGGCAAACTCTTCTGTACTTTTATTCTTTCCTTTCCAGTATTCGAGTTAAAAAATTCAAATCCAAATAGTATCAGGTTGTATCTCTTATATATCAAAAGACTGAATCCACTTCCAAATGACTTCAACTATTGTCTTTGACAAAAATAAAATGAAACTGTAGGGACATTGGAAGGGGCTTCTCTCCAGAAAGTCTCCACAATCCGTTTTATCTTTCAGATATCTGACTGTTAATATGACCTTTCTCTGAGGCTTGATTTCTCTTTTTGTACCTTTAATTAATAATTGCAAACACATGTTTAGGCAAAGGTTTGAGAAATACAATTATTTAGCAATGCATTATGTATGTGCTACATTTTAAAATGTGGTAATGTGTATTTTTTCACACAGGCATACAGGCATCTTTTAGAATAGATGACAAAGCAGTAACTCCTTCAACAATTGTACATTGTTTTGAAATACAAAATTGTCAGGAAAACATACTGCCCAGCATTATGTGGGGAGCAAAGGTGGTTTGGCTCTGTCCTAGGGGTTCATTGTGGTCAGGCTGCAATTCACCTCAATATGTTCACAGGTTGCAGTGAAGTCACTTCAGGATTCAACCAAGGATCATCCATGCAGAGGCGGCACACACTGGCCTGACTTCATTGATATGTTTCTATGGAGCTGCAGTAAAATTATTTTCAAAATTTTTCTGTAGATAAATCTACATAGGAGCTGAGTAATTCTGCATTCACTTGTATTCTGAGCACAGTGCGAAATGCGAGTGCAGCAGAAGTAACTTATTTACTATCTCCACCCTGCCCCCCACCAATCATTTAATCATTTAGCCAACAATGATCAAGATCTACTATGAGCCAGGCACTGCGATAGGAGCAAAATCCAATGGTGAATTTAAGCACAGAAGGGCCTACCCCCCATGGAACTTAGAGACTAGTAGTGAGGGCACGTATTACTCAAATCATCACATACACAAACTGTAAAATGATAATCATGATACAAACTTATAAAGCACAGATACATGATACCCTAAGAACATCAAATATGGAGACTTTGATCTAGTTAGAGAAGCCAGAGATTTTCCTGAAGAAGAGTCTTTTGAGCTGAGATATGAGTGAGATGCTAGAGTTAACTAGACAAAGGGAAGTGTTGCTGTGAGGTTCACTGCATATGTTTTTTTTTTTAATGTTTTTATTTATTTCTAGGAGAGAGAGAGAGAGACAGTGTGAGCAGGGGAGGGTCAGAGAGAGAGGGAGTCACAGACTGAAACAGGCTCCAGGCTCTGAGCTGGCTGTCAGCACAGAGCCTGACACGGGGCTCGAACCCATGAACCGCGAGATCATGACCTAAGCGAAAGTCGGACACTTAACCGACTAAGCCACCCAGGCGCCCCAGTTCACTGCATATGTTAGTCACGTGCAGATACTAGCTAATAAGAAAGTAATCCAAAACCAAAGTTGGCAAAACATGTCCAAAGATTAAACCATCTGATTGTCTTAGTAGGGCTGAATCCTTTGGAAGAACATGGCAATCTTTATTTAGGCAGTATTCAAAGAACCATTGATTCATTTGTTGTTCCTTAGGGTTGGAAAGAGATGGCCATAATTTTACAAAATACTCAGCACTATGGAAGGGTGATAGGCAGTGGGCATGGGAATTTACACTCTCAAAAATTACTGGGTTTACTCTTTAAATTAAATAAATTTCAGGTTTCTCAAAGTATGTAACTTTCTCTGGAAAAATGTTAATGGTCTCTGATGTATCTAAAGAACCAAATAGGAAATTACCATGAAAATCTCTCTCTAATCCTAAAGATTTCTTATGGCTCCAAAGCTATTTTAAGAAAAGAACAATCCAGCTTCACAGATCCAAAGTAGCAGTCTATTAGGAAGAGCTAAATAGAAGATGACATTCTTTAAGGCTAACTTGGGCAGACTACCAACTTTGTGCCCTCGATGTGGGTTTATGGACCTCAGAATATGAACCAAGTGAGTTCTAACTGGGCTTTGTTTAACTTCAGAATTGAAAAGACAAACATCTCCCTCACACACTTTTCCTCACTTTATATCAATTCCTTTTTAAGGTGCCAAAATATTCTAACTCAATTGTTTTTAAAGCATAGAATACTTTATCATCAGATAAAATGTTCTTATTTTGGTCCAAGTAGAAAGCTGTTTGCAGTTACATCCAAAAAAAATCATTATTGACATATCTCAGTCTGTCTCAATCTGTTGATCTGGAATAACTGTTAATTAAAAATCAGTTAAACTGTTACTCTGAGAGCTATCATTAATAACAGAGAAAAAAGAAATATACAGAAATGAGCTTATTTGGCAGTTATAATGACAGATCTCTCTGTGCCTTTGCACATACTACTATTTCTGCCTAGAGTGCTCTTCTCCAATTCTTTATTTAGCAGACTCCTATTCATCCTTCAAATCTCAAATTAAGTGTCTTCTCCTCAGAAAAGCTTTTTCTAGGTTCCAGAGTTAATGGCTTCATTCCTCTATGCATCCTTGGACATTTGTTCATAACTCCACGTGGCAGAGATTACTGGTTGCCACCCAATATCAATCTTCCTTCTTTTTCTCAGTAACAGAACTTCAATTTGGGGTTGCAATATATCAGGTTAGGAGAATACACTTTTCATTGGCTTTGCAACTAGCTTGTAATTAGTAAAATAAAAGTGGAAGGGTTGTGTGAGACTTCTGGGAAGACCTCTTCAGGGAAGCTGATTAGGGCACCTGGGTGGCTCAGTCAGTTAGGCTTCTGACTTAGGCTCAGGTCATGATCTCATGATTCATGAGTTCAAGCCCTGCATCAGGCTCTGTGCTGACAGCTCAAAGCCTGGAGCCTGCTTCTGATTCTGCGTCTCCCTCTCTCTCTCTCTCTCTCTCTCTCTCTCTCTCTGCCCCTCCCCAGCTTGTGCTCTCTCTTGTGCATACTCTCTTTTAAAAATGAATAAACATTTAAAAACTTAAAAAAAAAAAAAGAGCTGACTTAGATGGCCCCTCTTGCCCTTGTTTAACACTCTCCTGTCTTCCTTTTGGCTCCAGTTGTTATCTCAAAAAATGAGACAATCCTGAGAATGGAAGCCTTGCAGTAAGGATGGCAGAACAGAAAGTAAGAGCTTGGTTCTTGAACTCCCCTTGGACTGATCACGCGATGACCTCTTTTTCTGTGATAGAGTAAATCCTTTATGTGCATAAGCCATTATTACTTTGGGGTTTCTTTTATATATGCCCAATTCAAGTAATTGTATAACTTATATTGAGCTTAATCTATTAATCTGTTTGTTTCCATACCAAATTATGGGCTATTTGAGAGGCTGTGTTTCAATGAACTTTGTGCTTCTGCTGTATGGTACAGGGCTTGACATTTGACACACACAGTGAATGCTGGTGAATGAATGAGACACATAGCAAACTTAATGGTTTGTTAATGAAGGTTGTATTGTAAGTTACAGACAGGCAGCTTTAGACAGCAGTCATTGATAGCACACACATAGACAAAAATGCACAAATATGTGTATATGTGTGCTTGTTTGTATCTGTGTACACAGAAGAACAGACACATCATAAGTGACAACTACAGGTCTAACTTAAGTCTCTTTCCTGATGCAGACATAAGAATTACAGTAAAGGGCTAGAATTTTTAACAGACTATTTCCCAAGTGCACCTATGCTCATTATTAGTGAAATGTCATGGAAGGCAATGTTCAGGTCACTGAGTTCCCAGACCCACCCCATTCTGGACAAAACATTAAAGTGAGATAGTGACCACTCATAACTTTGGCAACTGCACAGAATTTTTTTTGTAAAGGGTGGAAAAATAACTGATTATTTGGGCCTAATGTATTTTATTTATATTCTGCTACTAGGTGTCAAGTTGATACAGCAGTCTAATCTCTATATCCAAAATGATTGCACAGTGCTCTTCTTTTTATTTTTTTAACAAAATTTTATCACAGGTGACATAAAAAAATGAAAAGCTCTGAGGTATTTGTTGTTTAAACACCATTAGCTGGTCATCAACTTTTGCTTTTCTATCCTGATTGTATGTTTTTGGCATACATATACATATGTATAAAC